GTTTAGGTAGCTTTCATTTCTGTGTTATTTACTACCAAATTCTTTGTAATCCTCTAAAGAGGTGATGACAACAAATTGTGCTTTTTTTTTTTTTTTTTTTTTTTGCTTTATTATTCCCTTTGCAAAATTAAGATGATGATAGAAACTACCAACACACTTTTATATAAAGTGATTTAAGGAAAACATCCCTTTAATATATATATATATATATATATATATATATATTTATATATATATATAAAAGATGTTGTCAATCAAATGAGTGGTCACTTTTATTTTTTTATTTTTCTATCTTAAAAGTATAATTAAGTTAATTTTCATTTATATTTAAATATTTATCTTAGCATAAAGTGAGTAATAATTGAGTGTTATATTAGCATCAATTAGAATTATAAATATATTTTTTTATTAGATTGGCAAATTACACGTCTTCAATTCATAGCAAAAGTGATTGAGAAAAGTGAAACTACTTCACATTTGACTCCGACATAGGCGTGTTTTGTAGCAGTTTGTATATATATATGTATATGTATATATTACTTTTGGGTATATCTATATGTAGGTTTCATTAATGGACAAGTGTTTAAAATCAATTCCGGTAGTGTAGTTTTAATAGACATTTTGGTTCTATTGATTATTTGCTATAGGCATTAACAATAATATAATTTTATAAAAAATATATTCACCACTTGCATTATATTTTTATAAAAATAAGTTAATTATTTGCTATACACATTAATAATAATATAATTTTGTAATAAATATTTATTCGAATTACACTTTTTGTATAAACAATTAAAGAATTAATTATTTTTAAAGTAGATTACGATTTGGAACAAATTAATTATTTTAAAGAATTAATATAAAAGCATACGCTAAATTATAATGGACCAAACCAAGTGGTATATCATAATTGGGCCAAAAAGCCCAATAAACACGCAATGAGTATATAATATAAAGTTGAAAGCTTAATCATGCAAATTGGCCTCCAATCCCTTTAAATACATGTAAAAATTCAAGTGAAAGAAAAAAAATATATATATTAAAAAATGATTTAAAATAAAAAATTAAATTACAATTCAATATACTA